ATGACGTCTTTTTCCAGGGACTGGTCCCACATTATGACATGTTCAAATTACAATGTGTGTCAGTTTCACCATCCTCGTATCTAAGAAACACTTTGGCTGTACTTCTTCCGAGACAGATTTGTTTGTTCTTCTAGAATGCGTGGTACCTCAAAGATTCCACTCCAGTTCCATACTTCCAATGCATCAGCCCTTCTTTGGTCATCCCTCTTCAATGGCCAATCTTTCACATACCTTTGAGGTGATTAAAAACACATGACTTGGGTCAGGCGCACCTTAGTACTCAAAGTGACATCCTTCCTCTTCAGCACTTTAAAGATGTCTCATGCAGCAGATTTGCCCAATGCACTATGTTGTGTTACTCTTAACTTCTGCCTCCATGAGCATTGGATTGTGGATCCAATGAAATCTTTGACAACTTCAATCTTTCCTCCACTTAGCTGTTGATCAAGCTGTGAGGATTTTTGTTTTCTTTACACTAAGTTGCAGTCCATACTGAAGGTCACGGTCCTTGCTCTTCATGAGCAAGTGCTTCAGGTCCTCCTGGCTTTCAGCAAGCAAGGTTGTGTCATAAAGCCAGCATGCGTGTGATATCTGCATATCGTAGGTTAAAAACCCTTCCTCCAATGCTGATGCCACAGTTTGCTTTATATAGTCCAGCTTTTTAGGTCATTCATTCAGAAAATAGATTTTGTAAGCATGGTGGTGAAAGGGTACAATCATGATGCATATTTCCTGAATTTAAACCATACAGTATTCCCTGTTCGTCTGTTCTTTGCCCATGTACCTGAGTAAAAAGAAGTGACTTGTAGTTCCCATTCTTCTCCATGTTATCCACAATTGTCCACCCAATTAACCAATATCATTATTATTATAATATTACTATTTATAATTATCCACATAATTGTCCAATGTTCTCCATAATGATCCACAGTCAAATTCATAGTTAATAAAACACAAGTAAAGGTTTTTTCTAGTGTCCTCTGCAGAGAGAGCCAAGATCTGTCTGATGTCAGCAGGACATCCCTCGTTCTACATCCCTTTCTGAATCTAGCTTAAATTTCTGGCAGCTCCCTGTCCATCTATGGCTGTAACCACTGTGAAATGATCTTCAGCACAGATGTACTTGCAGATGATATTAATGATATTGTTTGATAATTTCCACATTCTATTGGGTCACCTTTCTTTGGGACAGGTACAAACAAATCTCTCTCAGTCAGTTTGTCAGTAGCTGTCGTCTACATTTCTTGGTATGGACCATTTGAG